TGACCTCCAAAATGAACTTGCACGCGGCATTGTCGTAGGTGATGTTGCGAGCGAAGGCACCGAGGGTGGAAGCAATGTCATCACAGGCATCCCTACTAAATTTGTCTCCGCGGCTTTTGGTTGTGAGTTGCAGGTATACCACGACGGCACTGCCTGTTCGGCGCTTGCACGTCTCGTTCACCTTTTCCAGCATATACTCCACTTGTTCTGGGTAGTATCGCGGCAAATTTACTGCTTGCAATGCTTTGGGCAGCGCTTCATTGAGTTTCAAGTCCTCACCAGGACGGCTTGACATCTTGAGCGGGAGCACCCTTTTGCCATTCTTCACATGCTCACACATGAGATTGTTCAGCATGGTTGATTTCCCAATGCCTTGGGAACCACTGACCACCAAGAAGGAAGGGGTGCTCAAAGCTTCACGTTGAGGTGAATTGATGAAGTCCTTGATGTATTCCTCCTCGAGCGGCCGTGCAGGGGCGGGCTCTTTCCTTTTCAGCCTTTGCCCAAACTTCCTCACTGCCCTGTTCATGAAGAAGCCAGGAAGGAACCTTTGAATGAGAGCTTGGAGAACCAGCACTACGACGCTCCCTGTGCTCAACAAAGTCCAACAAGTTTTAACGGTCTGCGCAGGAAAAGCCCTTGCGGGCTGTGTTCGTGCATGACCGCTTGGAAGGACGAACCGGCCTGGCGCAAGCTCAACCTGCCTCACAAAGATGCATCTGCGGAATGTCGAAGGAAAGGGACAATACATCGGTTCAGTCAATTTGTGCCAAACTGGCTTTGGTATTGAAGGATGCTTGATATGCAAAACCAAACAGGAACCACAGCGCCTAACCTCAATCAATACATGAATTTGAAGCAAATCATTCGACATCTTTGAACAACAGCTTGCTAGAGTTTGAACCTGAACCTACACATAGAAACTCTGACCACCTCAACAATTATCCCCTTCATTCAATCCAAACAATGAAGTGAACTAATCCCCAGAACCCCCACAGGAAAGAAAAAACATGAAAACCAACGAACATGAACACCAACATAAAATCATAGCACCCAAGCATTAGTACAGCAACCTCAACAAAACATTTAGCAGGATAATCAAAAAGAAACAGTCAAACATTTCAGATTACAAGATTGAACAAAAACATAACAGCCTCCCACCTAACCTCCAACCTGTCCTGTCCTAGTTTCCCTGTTTTACCCTTTTTTTCCCATGAAAAAAAATGCCTGTATGCCATTGGTAGAGACAAATGCTGAAGCTGAAGTATCCCCTGGTAGAACTATGATTGGTCCTTCAACCCCAATTTCTCGGGTCGATGGCGCAAATCTATGAAGTCCTCTTACTAGAGCTGGAAAAAAATTAGACCCTCCTCCCCCGCGAACAAACTGTTTCACTACTAAGAAAACCAATGTTTTCAACTGCCCGGGTTTCAGGGGAAGATTTAGAGTACCATGACACCAATACTGTAAATCACCGGTGGCCCCACATTCCCATTGTTGGTAGCCACAAAGAAATCACCATCATCTCGAAACAGGGGAAGCCCGAAGATCAATTGCCTGTCCCATCCCATGAAATACTGCTTGGTAAATGGCTATCCCGTTACTTCATGGTCATTATAACCTCCAACAAATTCACTGGTGGGTGGTTTTAACCATCTTGAAAAATATTGGTCAATGGGAAGGATTATCCCATATATTTTGGAAAATAACCAGATTATAACCTCCAACAAATTCACCGGTCAGCTGTCTTCCCTGCAATTGCTCCGCTCCTGCTCCAGGAGCGTATGGATGACCTTCGCAGTTGCATCAAACTTTCCTCAGCCGAAGGAGACACGACTGGTTTGGCAAGAAAAGATAGGAAAGGTGAATTTTCACCACAGTGTTTGCTAGGATGTGGCTTGTTGGTCCTTTTAGCGGTCAGTGTAGATTCTGATCTTGCGATGTGGACTGGCATGGACTGTAGGTCATTGGATACCACCAAGTTCTGACCCTTTCAATGGAGAACCTGGACAGTCAATCATCAAATTTTGGGCTACTCTATTTTCAGACCAAGCCATACTGTGGATGGTTGCGAAATCCTCCCATTATCGTTGGTAGATGTGCAAATTCTCCCATTATCGGTGCAGGATTTTGTGGGTCCACACTATGTGCCATGGTAACCTGGGATATCGTCTGTTGAATTATTCTTGTGGCTGTATCTATATAGATCCCTTTCTGAATGGATTGAATGACAATCCTCTTTTATCGGAAGCAACTCATCTTTTAACCATGGCAAATATGAAATACATATACCCTCTGGTTATTTAACATAGCTATGGAATATAGCCATATATAGCCCATTTAGAGATGAGCAAAAATGATGATTTAGCTTTCGAAAACGGTGATTTTCCATTTAAAAAAAAAACTGTTCAATAACCATCATGGACCCAGCGTCGTCCAAATTGCTCGTTGCTGCGCCAGGGTGATCTGTGGCGACCGGGAAAAACGTGACTGGCTCATGGCTATTAAACACCCCCTCAATGGTCCTACATATGTGTAAAATTCCAAACATGTTACACATTTTTGTTCATATGTCGTAAGAAAAATGGATGGTCAAGTGTATCCCCCTGCCATTATTTGTGTGGCGATCGCCCTAGGTGACCTGGCCACTTAGAAGTCCTACTGAAGCAGGTCGCATCACCATCAGCAAAAGCTGTATGACCATTTTTTATAGGGTAATAATTGTTTCTATAGCAGCAGGAATATGCCAGGGGCTTTGGTTTTTGGTAAATTCTCCCTGTTTGCATCCTCTACAGAGATTTCATTCCGCTCCCAATTCACAGGTAATGGTGTTTTTCTACCATAGGTCATGATGGTTCTCTTACTCAAATATACCTATATAGGAGTTCTCCGTAACTCCAAACATTACCTGGTCATGGAAGTACATGAATATGCTTCAATTTACCGTATGTCAATGGTGGGAATTGTGGGAATTGCATAACATAAAAGTCAGCATCCTAAAAAACACACGCACACATGTTTCACTTTCTTTGAGGCATCGTAGCCTACTCCCTACTTGGATGTACATCTGAATTAGTTAAATGGATTTTAAGCGATATAATACATATATATATAGCCCATATCTCATGTGAATTCACTTGAGAGATTCTGCTTACATTTGGATATTCTATTGAATAACTTTATATTATTCATATATAACCACAAGTGGATTGTGACTAATTATTAACTCATAATTATTATAACTAATACAACTATCATAACTATCATAAATATTAAAACGATTGAAACTAATTACAACTATTATACAGTTACTGGTATACATATTAAAATCCACATACAACCCATGTGTGACCGATATGAACTGTAAGTTGTAGCATGTTTGTAACCCATGTATTACCCAATTACAGACTATAAATGTGCTGCCCAGTCATCTTTGGCCTCGCTATCTCACGGCGGAAAGATTCCAGCGGTGTCATGCCTGACAGGTCAGGATACCAGCAATTACTCAGGGAAACCATGCGATGCGTTTCCAAAGGTCCAACTGGAGGTGTGACCACTTATGTTCTGACACAATCAACTGCATTGAAATTGATTGTGGTAGAGCAAGAGAAGTGATCAGAAGTCATGTCTTATCATCTCTTGCCAAGATTCGACATCGCTGCGACATCAAAGTAAATGAATATAACATGCTATGACTGGGTGAATAAAGCTGACAATTCAGAAATCATCAGAAATCAAAGATATGGAGCTTCCCCCAGTTCCCATCCAGTCCCATCCAGTCCCATCCAGTCATTCGACTGATCCGATCGTTGATGGCCTTCGGAGCGTTGTGTGCCCTTGGACATGCCCTCTGTTTGGCTGGGATCTACACCATTGTGCAACATCATGGCCTGGAGAAACCGGATGCAGCGGCGCCTGCAGCTTATTGTTCAATAGATAGGTGGTTTATCTGTGGGCTAAACATCGAAACATAGGTAGTTTCTGTGGTAAATGTGGGCTAAACATCATAGGGTAGGGGATGGTAGGGGTAAAATTTTCATCCCCAGGGTTTGTGATCATCTGGTTTTCCCTGCTACACTGGCATCTGTGAGAAGAAAGGCTGTTTGAACTATGAAATATCGATAAATATCGTGTCCTGCTTGAAGAAAATCTGCGAAGATTAGGCACTTGGCAAGAAACATGGGAAAATCACCAATCATCCAATCTGAAACTAAAAGACATGGGTTTATATATGGGAATGGGTAATATGTCAAAAATTGAGACCAAAAGCACCTGGTACTCACTCAAACAAGCCCCTTGACCCATGCCTAAATGGCTAATGAAGTACCTGTCAAAACTAGGGCACTAGGGAATTCAAACAAACCGGACTGGGCAGCTCTCCAGTAATACCTGCATGTAATTGCGTGTAGCACTAACCAAAATCGGATCATTACACCTCACTTAAATGAGTTTGTCCAACAAAAAGTACGCTAAATGAACTCAGATACAAATAAATGGTCTATTCCAGATCAATATACTCCGTTGAGTTTATAAAACTACTGGTCTGAACAAACGATCACACACATATCAACATACCATGACTAAGGATCTCTATCTGGATATACTATAGATCAATATCTACATATATATATATTATATATATATACATATATGAAGGTTTCGGTTCTCAGCCACCTCGAACCGTTCGAAACCTAAGCGGCGCTTTGGCATTTGTCGCCGCGGGCGCAGCCGTCGTGAGCACGCTGCCGCCTTGAGCTCTGCTGGCACTGGGCTGGCCAGCATCTCCTTTGCTTTCAAAGCCCCTCTTTCTCGATTTACTTCTACTTGGCCAAGCCTACTTGCTGCGGTTTGACATTGTCACTGCTTGCGGTTCCTTGCCATTGGATTTATTTCGACTTCCTTCGGACAAAGGTTCGGAGACGGGTTCACCAATTCTCTGCCTTAAATTGGTTTTTGGGATATCCTACCTCACGGTGTTTATCTTCAAGTTCGGGCTTTTGATGCACTTCGTGCCCTTTGTGGTCTTTGTGATTCATTTGGTCTCTTCCGGTTTTGTGCACACCTGCCTGGGCTACAACCACGGCATCGGCGACACAAAGGCGAACACTACGCAGGAAGCGGGCTACAGCCAGGAGATTGTGGTTTCTGCATCGCAGAGGAGTTCTTCACCTTTCTTCAGTGAGGCTCAAACACATCTTCCAGGTGCTTCGCCATCATCATTCGAAAGATCAGACCTTTTTGAACCTCATCGCAGCTACAATGTCAGACAATGCTCCGTGGCGATGTCTGGGGTGCAAGCAGCTTCGCAAGCACTCAGCCAACTATTGCCACGTTTGTCAGCAGCCATGGCAAGTAGCCATGGATCGAACTTACACCCACCAGCCGGGTGGGCAGAAGTCGCAAGAAGCATATGCATCGAGCTGGAATTACAATCATGGATGGGAAGGCCATCACAATTGGGGTGGCAGAGATCGCTCCCAAAGCAGGACCCATACTCCAAAGAAGGGCACGAAGCCAAAAGGCGCGAAGACGCCCAGGAACAATGCCTCAGGAGAAGGCAAGGGAGCACCCATGCTACCCTTCCCTGCGGCTCCCAGCTTCGGCAAGGGCCAACCGTTACCGCCACCGCCAATGCCCTGGCCTGGCTATGCAGGGATGGCCCAACCTATCATGATGCAGACACCGATGCAACCCATGCAGGCTCCGATGCAATCAATGCCACAACAGCAAGCCCCACCGCAACTGGCACAGATGATGGCGCCAGTGGCCCCATCATTCTCGGCGCCACCTCCCCCTCAAGCATCGATGAGTTCGGAACACATGGAGTTCATCGAGATGGCCCGGGCCCGCCAATCCGAACTTCCTGCGGATATGAGACATCAAATGCAAAAGATGGCCAAGAAGGAGGGAGCAAGAGCCACAAAGGACTTGCACAGCGCCGTCAAGCAGATGGGCATCGCCAGAGCGGAAGTGGAAGAAGCCATCCAGGCCCGCATCAACCTGATAGCTTCCTGGAAAAACTTCCTCTCGGAAGCAGTCAAGACCTGGCAAGATTACACAGTCCTTTTTCAAACTCAGGAACAAGGCCTTCAAGCCCGAATCCAGGAGGCCCAAGAAAACTTCACACAAGCAAAGATTCAGGCAGAGGCATCTCAGGCAGTAGCGGGCAAGCTGACCATAGAGATCAAGGACGAGGACGACGACTTCGCCGAAGGCCAGGAGAAAACCGACAGGTCAGCAGGCAAGATCAACGAGGGCTTAGCCACATTGTCAGCGTCCTTACAACAAATGAAGGAGCAGGCAGACGCCATCGTGGTGGAGGAGAACGCGGCGAAAAGACAGCGCACCTCCCATCAGAGCGAGCAGGCAATGGAGGTAGGAGAACTGGCAGACTCCAAGGACTCTTCCAGGCAGCCTTTTGCCTCGCCCGGCTGTCCATGACGTTCTCGTATGACAGTCTAGGGCTTTGCCGCCACTGGAGCATTGATTCTCCAGGTTCAATCATGAAATGGCACAACAGAGCTTTGCTCAAAGAAGAATTTGTCTCTGAATGGAGGGCAAGAGAACTTGCTTTGGGGCTAGCAAGGGAATTGTCATGCCAAGCGGAAGCGTCTTCTTCTTTCTGGACTACCCCATGGAGTCCCTGCCAAGGGAGTTGCCCAGCAATACCTATTCAAGAATCTCCTTCAAGAAGGACAAGAACCAAGGCTCTGCATGTGGGCTTTGCTGAGTCAGTGGATGTCTGGATTGGTTGCGATGACTCCTTTCGGATGTACCACACTCTTGGTTCTCTTGAAGCCTTCTCAACAAGGACTTCGCCCTGGAGCTGCTCGAGTTCCCACGATGCAGATTCCAGCCACAGAACTTTTGACCTCATTGTGACCTCAGAATCATCCAGAGGCACAGTTGTTAGAGGGCTGAACCCACACCCCGTGTGGGCTCAGGACATTTTTGAACTACTTCGAGTTGAAGGACGACCTGATGAAGGAGAAGACGAGCCAGTCGTGTACATTACATCGTACTTCATCGACCATGTTGTCCATCCTCATCATGATCAACCCCGACTCCTACGTTTTGACATGGAGGCATCTGAATGGGAGAGAGACGTATGCTTGATATGGGAAGACCACATTGATGTGTCCATCCCCTTTGATGTTACCATCGTGCAGCCAGGATCTCCTCATTCAATCTACCCAGATGCTGTTGCGACAGCCATTGTCCATCAACGTGCCACTTTCGACAGGGCAGCGACGCTGGTCACCACCGTGCACATTGCGGACCCAACCACATGGTTTTCTGAGTTTGCCCACTCTTTTTCAAGACAAGTCGAACATGAGGACATACTGCAGGTCGCGCAAGTGTCAACATTGTGTCAGGATAGAAGGGCTGACGGATTTGGGGACTGCACACTACATTCAGGAAACCGGCAGTTACCAGCAGGACAGGTTCATCATCTTCACCATGGGCTAGGCCTACACATCCGAGTGCCTCCAGCACTTCGTGAAGAAGAATTGGAGCAAAACTTTGTGCGCAGAGTTCGGCAACGCCAGCTCCAACATCCTTCTCATGTGGAACCAACCCAATGGAGATGAGGCCCCGGAATCTCAACATCCTCGACAAGATGAAACAAGGAACGCTCCCGAAGATACAACATCATTCATGGCTAGACAGCTGACGCTTCATGATGCAGCATCTTTACCATCATCAGGGAGAAGTTCAAGGAGCTCGACAAGTTCATCCTCATCGTCAAGGTCGACTTCACGGTCCAGCGAAGATGAAGACTGGCGTCAGACTGTGATCTTCTCACTCGACGGCAGATCTATTTCTACGCTGCTACCTTGGCATGATCAGACTGAATTATATCGACAAGCAGCTAGAGAATTCGGCATTGAACCCTTGGGAATCATCCGTCTTCATCTAGTACTGCACAGACCCCTGGATTATGTTCAAGTTGGCCTTCATGGACTCTTGTTGCAAAGAACACCGGAGTTCCGACCGACGCCTTTTGAGCGATTAGTCTTGCTCGACTTGGAATTGCATGTTGACAACGATGTCCAACCTTCGCCTTTCAGAAGGTATGTACGTTGGGTACCGTACACGACCAACCGCCCCTCCTTCTTTCAGTTCCTGGGCCTTGAAGGAGTTTTGGCAGAACATGGAGATATCTGCTACATGTGGCGAAACAACGTCGTGGTGCCACAACGCGACATTTCCCCCATCAACTTCCTCGACGGCGACTACATCAAGATCTTTGTCGGCGACGTAGACATGCAAGAACAATGCATATCGGAGTCGGACGCCGCCATTGGAGATGATCCTATGAGTTCAAATGCGTCCGGAGACGACAGCAGTTTGTTTCAACGGTCTGTCAACCAATTCCAACAGGCACTTTTGGGCTTTGGACACAATCTCGGTGCCGTAGAGATCAAAACTGACCCAAATCATCACGCTCAAGGAGGTTTCATTCCTGACAGGCCTACCAGACTCCCGGCACCTCCTCGCACTACATTCAACAGAGGTTTTCACCGAAGATCAACGACGTTTGGCACGACTCTTTGATAGAAATGCTTTCGTTGAGTGCGAGGAAGAAGGACGGGTAGCATATGTTGAAACATGGCACATTCACCAACAACATAGACGACATTGCCGCGATCCTAGATCGATGAAACTACATGACAGTCCTCAACACTGGGTCGAGGAAATTCTTGCGCTTTGGGATCTCAATGGAGAGCAGGAGACGGACATCATCATCCATTTGGTCAAGCCTACGCCACCATGCACGAGATTCCAATGCGTTTTGGCACATCTTATTGTTGAACAAGCCCCTCAGCACAATATGAATGTTGGCATCATTTCCATTGAAGCCACAGATCAACGTGGTACCTCAATCGAACACGAAGCGCACTCATTGCCAGACTGGATGGGACGCAACATGGTCCTACGAAAAGCAGAGCTCGAAATTTTCTGCCAAACAAGGATCTGTTCAGTCACTTTGGGTGCTTTACCCTTCGGTCTGGTTGATATTGAGGAAATCCCCAGAGCGGTTGGCCTTACCATCCACATTCGGCCACTCATTCTTCAGGCAGACGAGTATGACCACATGGAGCTCATGCAAAGACCACCCTCTCGATGGAGTAAGCCAACACCACCGCAAGCAGGGCAGGATCTCTCATCATCTCCGGCACGCTGTGAGGGCACGGCATTTGTCTTCAATCCGAATGCACCAGCCTTCGACCCGGCAATTCCCTTTGTCGGCCACATGCCAGAGAATGTGCAAGACCTTTACCACGCCTGGCAACAGACGGCGTTTAGCTGGGAGGGCGAAAGTGCGTCAACCAACATTATTACATGGTTCGTGGATCAGCACAATTTAGCGCTACACCACTGCCATGCCCCACGCGTAGTCCGACTCTACGACAATTTTCAGCAGTGGGAAGCTCATCTGAGACAAGTTTGGCGAGAATTTACTCTCCCAGGTGCGCCAATCATGATCCATGTTGTTGAGCCCCAACCAACGACTAGTGTTGAGGCACATGTCCTGATCATTCAGAACCCCATCGACCAGTTCTCCACCAGTCTGGTCACGGGCTTCGACAACAGAGGTCATCATCAGGAACCAATCTTTCAGCTGGCAGTCACCACACCAGAGCTCCTCCACTACGATCAATTGTTGATGGCTCTGGGAATGGGAGGTCGTTGCCTCTTTCCTGGCTCTCCTGACCTTTGTGCCCTTTGGTATGGCAACTATGAGATCCGGCCAGGAGTCCCTTTTCCAGCAAGAGATGGTCATGGACTCAAGATCAGGATCACACGCCGTTTGACTTTCCAGGACACGCAGCAACGGGCGGAGGCTCCAGTCTTCCTGCAACTCTCGTCGCTCCTCACACGGAACCGGGATAGTGAGCGCCTAACAACTGTTTCGGTGGCTCATGAACAGTGGCCACTACCCGGCGAAAGAGAACCAGATGAGACAGATCTGATTGAATCTACAGAGGTTGCAGTACGACTGAAATGGATGCTCAGCCCTCAACCGCATCCAGACTTTCTGATCCTGTCTTCTGCGACGAGAAGCGCAGCAGAGGAGGAACTCAACCTATGGGGAATCAAGGCATTCCCTGTTCTTTGCATGGAGCGCAACATCATTGTCTGCCTTCAACCACGTGACAAGAGCTCAGACCTCTTTGACTATGTTCTGGTCAATGCGGACCTCGATGATGAAGATGATGTATTTATTCATTCAACTGATCACATCCTGGAGCAGTACGAGCTCATGAGCCTTCTTTACCAGCTGGGGTTTTGGAGAGCAGTGATTGAATCACAGGAGACTTTGGATCTCTCTGTCAACAAGGTCGTCTTCATGGACCAAAAGGTGATAACAATGGGCAAGCCATCTCCAATCCCCAGACAGTCCAATTGGCCTACGGCACAACATAGCTTGGATAGCCATGAGCCTTTCTTCAAGGCATTCCCAGACGTGCAGAGCCCATGCCTGATCGACCTGGGCATTACCACTCAGGATCTTGTCAGCCTCTTTGACTCGCATCAACATTGTCTATGTTCTGATTTCGAGGGCATTGAACTTCCAACAGAAATTCAAACAGCGATTGAAGCCTGTGATCAGAAGATCCCGGACCACATGCTTGACCGCCTGCTCATCTATGCAGATGGGTCATCTTTGGGCTCAGCGAAACATTTGGCTCCACTTCGTGCGGAAGAAGAAGGCACAGGAGACACATGGGCCTATGTCATCTTGGGCGAACGATATGAACCACCCGGCCTCAGATTCATCGGATGGGCGGCACATCCGGTCATCTATGAGGAGCATCACAAGGCACACTTAGGGGCCAACCGAGTCGGAGCTGATGTTGCAGAACGAGAGGCTTTGTCATGGGCAGCTTTATGGCGTCTCAGTAAGAACTGGAAGATCCCAACATGCTTTCGATCTGACTCACGCACAACGTTGGGACAGGCGTCGGGAGACGTGGGGGCTGCTCAGATTGAGGACACCTTCATTGCTCTACGAAGCTCCTTCCAAGCGCTTGAGGCTGCTTTAGGCAGACAAGGAGTCCAATATGCGCACGTCCCGGGACATTCTGGAGAAGTCTGGAACGAGCTGTGTGATTGGCTCGCGAAAGCAGAAAGACAGAAGAGCTTCTACTGTCCAAGGCCAAGTATCAGCATGAGAGAATGGAGCAAAGTCATTGGATCACTTTGGCTGGTTCTAAACCAACAAGATGACCTACCCAAGTTCTGCGGCAAGGGACTTCATGCTCCACCTCCCAGACTTCCAGTTCAGCAAGATCGTCATGCACAAGAGCAGATTGAGCAGGGCAAAGAACAGGCTGAATGGGACCTGTTCACTCTGAGCATCAGTGCATGCACGGCGAATGTCAACTCGCTCAGTGCGCCCACCGAAGGATGCGGAGGCAAGATCGACTTTCTGCGCAGACAATTCATCGGCCTCCACTTCAACTTTTTGGGCATTCAGGAGTCGAAGTCCCCTGAATTCTGCTCCTGTGTGGACAAAGTTCTTCGACTTAGCTCAGGCTGCCACAAGAATCAACAAGGTGTCGAGCTGTGGATCAACCTGGCCCAGCCCTTTGGCTACATCAATCAACAACCGCTCTTTCTGGACAGGCATGACATCCAGGTAGTCCACAAGGATCCCAGGGTGCTTCTGGCCCGCATTGAGACAGGTTATTGGCAGAGCTGGCTTTTGGTAGCATATGCTCCACACTCTGGTCTGCCACTGGAGCAAAGGGAACAATGGTGGACTGCTCTATCAGAGCTCATTCATCGACGAGATGCAGGCGAGCATATGATTGCAATGATTGATGCCAATGCTGCCCCGGGCGCAGGTGATGACGTTGCGGTATTCACTGATGGCATGTCCACTTCAGTCAACACCCCTCTATTTCGAGGTTTTGTTGAAGAACATGCTCTTTTTCTACCTTGTACAACTGCCGCTCATCAAGGTGACATTTTCACTTGGACTGACCCCACAGGAGTCCACCAGCATTGCATTGACTATGTCCTTTTGTCGCGGCACTTTCTTGAATCATGTACGCTATCGAGGGTGGTCTCGGAATTTGACTTGGGCACGCAACACTGGGATCACGAACCCACTGCGGCCCATCTTGAATGGAAGGCGTGGGTTCCACATCGACCTCGACAGACAAAAGACGGCCTTGGTTTTGATCCCAATCTCATCGATCCGGCTGTGGCACAACAAGTTCTACAGAGTTACACACCAAAATCATGGGAGACGGACATCGAAGCACAAGTCCATGACTTCAACCAGCACGTGTTGACAGGGCTACGCAGAGCATGCCCGCTTCCGAAGAACAAACCCAAAAAGCCTTACATCACAGAGAAGGAATGGCTCCTCCGAGCAGAAAAGTTGAAGACCAAGAAGGGACTCAGAGCATGGACGAGAAGACAGAAGGAGGAGAGACTTGGAGTCGTTTTCCGTGCCTGGAAGAACAGAGAATCCTCCCAGTCACTGAGGGATCACTATGCGTCCTACCAGAACTACCTGTGGTGTGCTAATCTTCGTCTTGTGGCCAACTACAGACGAGCAGCTTGGGAGCTCCGCAACTGTCTGAAGAAGGCGAAGCAGGCCCACATCAAGGAGAAGTTCGGCGCTATGCCCGCAGATGCTACGGCGGGACATATCCTCAAGGAACTCCGACCCATTTTAGGGCCTTCCAACCTCAAGAAGCTGAAAGTTCAGACTCTCCCACACATCCGGAATGCCCAAGGTGAGGTCTGCAACCGACCCAGCGTAATGGTCGAAGTCTGGCTGGAGTTCTTCAGGCAGATGGAAGGGGGAGAGAGAATGGATGGAAGCCAACAAAGAGCACTTTGGAGGGCAAACCTAGAGTCCCTGCAGTTGCACGATTTCCAGATCAATGCGAGCGAGCTCCCTAGTCTTATTGACCTGGAAGGAGCGTACAGGCGCATCAACCCTACCAAGGCCACGGGCCCGGACAAGATCCGCCCAGCCTTCTGCAGAGCCCGGCCACAACTACTGGCGAGGGCGACCTTCAATCAAATGATGAAGCTGGCGATTCATGGACAGGAAGCTTTAGACCATAAAGGAGGGACACTTTGTCCCATCTGGAAGTCGAAAGGCCCCAAAGACGAATGCAGGGCGTATCGGAGCATACTTGTGTCCAGCTTCATCGGCAAAAGCATTCATCGAAGTCTACGCCAGCGTCAAAGCACTTTGTTTGAGAAGTACCTTCAAAAGGAGCAGCTAGGAGGACGCCCAAAAGTACCAGTCACTCTTGGAGTACATTTGGGGCGAGCATTTATGAGGGCGAGACGGCAACAGGGACATAACATTGCCATGCTGTACCTCGACCTTACGGAAGCCTTCTACAGAATCCTTCGCCAGCTTGTTGTTGGGGGTCCGGCCTCCGACGAACTTATCATTCATGTGGGCCAACGACTGGGAATGTCAGCTGACTTGATGCAGGACCTGCACAACCTCTTGGACGAACCCACAGCCTTGGAAGCAGCTGGATTGCCACACCACATGCGCAACGCCATCAGGGCAGTACATGTGGACACTTTCTTCAAGGTTAGAGGGCAGGGAGACGTCTGCAGGACACAGCTTGGGTCGCGCCCAGGCGACAGCTTTGCGGACGTCATTTTCTCCTACCTTTGGAGCAGTATCCTTCAGAAACTTCAAAAGACCATGACCGACTTGGGCCTGGTAGACTCCATTCCGGAAGAAACAAGACTGCGTTTGACTGACAGTCAGTTCACAGCTTCCTCTTCGCCTAGGAGTTTCTTGGGGCCGACGTGGATGGATGACACATGCGTCTGCGTCTCTGACCCTTCTCCAACAGTGCTGGAAGGCAAGATCCATCAGGCCACAGGGCTCTTGCTAGAGTTGTGTGATGCGCATGGGCTCTCACCAAATTTGGGTGCTGGCAAGACGGAGGCCCTATTGATCTTCCAAGGCCATGGTTCACGGAAATTGAAGATCAAATACTTTGGGCCGTCCTCGGACAAGACGCTTCTCATTCTGGGAGAACAGGGGCCACGCAGAGTCCGGGTAGTTGCACACTACACCCATTTGGGCTGCGTGATCCACCACAAGGGTGATAGTCGTGCCGAAGCTCGTCGCCGTGTCGCCATTGCACAGCAAGCGTTTTCACAGCACAGGAAGCATTTACTGCAAAACCCGGTTCTGCCGCTCCAGCGTCGAGTCGAGTTGTTCCGCACCCTTGTACTAAGCAGGTTCTGTTATGGTACAGAGTCGTGGACATTGGCTACCACCAGCACCAAAGAGTACATTCACAATGCACTCATGCGTCTCTTCCGGAGACTTCTTGGCAGAGCTCATGATGATCATTTGACTGATGCGGACATCCTGACCCAGGTTGGTATCAACAGTCCGACTGAACTTCTTCGTTTGGCCAGATTACGCTATTTGGGAACCCTGCACAAATGTGCAAAACTTGTTCCCTGGGGTCTTCTGAACAGTGACTCTCAATGGATTGCATTGGTTCAAGATGATCTGGGATGGGCCTGGCGACAGCTACAAGGAGCTTCCAAGCTGCCGGACCCATTGCAAGGGCTTGAAGTTTGGCACAACATCTGGGAGCACTACCCCTCGTATTGGAGGCGCTTGATCCGAAGAGCCGGAGAGCACGCCATTCTTCAGCGACAACGCCATCACCGTGTAGAAGGTTTTCACCGAGCATTTCTTCAACTTTTCCGAGAAGTTCGAGCTGATAGCTTAGTGAGAAGGGAGGATCAGGCAGCATCTGGACCAGATGACCATCCTGCACTGGAGCGCCATGCCTGCATGACTTGCAAGCGTCTCTTCCGCAGCAAAGGAGGAGTTGGGGCACACTTCTTTAAACGACACGGCACCGTCTCCAGACTCCGTACCCTGTTTGACACTACATGTTGTGGACACTGCTTGAAGGAGTACCACACATTTAGTAAGCTGCACGCGCATCTACGCTATTCTCTGGCATGCAGGGCTGCGTTATGGGGAAGCCGACGTCGCTACAGCCCAATGGGAGGAGCAGGTTCGGCCGCTGACCGAGCACTTTGTCAACAACATGATGGACTTCTTCCTCCTTTGCAAGCAGCAGGACCCAGGCTCCCTGATCAGCAGAACATGGAATTACCTGGTTTCGACTTACTGCTTGCGGAACAAATCTACATGGACATCCTTGAGAATGAGGGCCGAGAAGCAATTGAATCGGTGATCCGTCGGACCATCGAGCAGCACCCAGTCACATGGGTTGTCTGCCGGGAAACCCTGGGCTATTTGAGGGAGGCCTTGACGGAGCAGGACATCCAAGCCCTACAAATCGGGGACTTTGACATCCAGCACCTCCTGCAAGAGCTACAAGCCGAAGCAGCATGGCCTTTTCTTCAGGAGCAGCGTGGCCTTCCGACCCGCGGTTCTTCGACACACTCCTTGGAAGAGATTGAACAGATGTGTCTCGAAGAAGCAGAGAAGGGGAGGCAACGAGAGCCCTTTTGGGAGGTACCACGGCCTATGGCCAAGGAAAGATTCATCGTGCATGCCTTCTCCGGCCGACGTCGTGCAGGAGACTTTCAGCACTTCATCGACCAGGCGCAGCAGAAGCACTCCGACGTCATCATCTTCACCATTTCAGTCGATCTGATGGTAGACCCCACTTGGGGGGATGTGTCCAAAGAGTCTGTGCGTCAATTCTGGCTCCACGCAGTCCGTCAACGCCAAGTTGTGGGTGCGATGGCAGGTCCCCCCTGTGAGACCTGGTCACAGGCGAGGGGACAAGAGCTGCCAGTGGATCAAGCCCAACAAGGGCGCAAGGGGCCCCGAGTCTTGAGGGAAATGGAATGCCTCTGGGGCCGGGCTGCCCTGGCCTTAAAGGAGGTTCGGCAATTGGATGTGGGCAATCTCCTCTTGCTATTCACCCTCGAACTGTTGATCACGCTTGCAATCGAAGGCGGCATTGGGGGACTTGAACATCCTGGACCTCCTCAAGACCAGCAGAAAGCGAGCATTTGGCGGCTACCTCTTCTGACCTTCCTGTGTGAGTGGCCGGAATTTGACTTCTTAGAAGTTTCACAAGGACTATTTGGAGCCCAGAGTAGGAAGCCAACAGGCCTACTCCTCCTGCACATGTCCCGCATGGTGCCTGAGCTCAGGAAGTGGCAACTGACCACCACCATGCCGAAGGGCGCGAGCATTGGCAAAACTGCCACAGGAGAATGGGCGACAGGGGTACTTAAAGAGTATCCCCCGGCATTTTGTGCCGGTTTAGCAAACGGTTTTGTAGCCACGCTCCGAACCCATCCTCCGGACGTGGAGTGCGAGATCAGCCCTGCTTTCCGCACCCGAGCGGCACAGATGGTGATTTCTCACCATGGCTCGTGTATAGGACCGGATTTTGCAGGCTGAGATCCTACATTGTCTTTTTCCCCATGAGGGGGCTGTTACCATCAGAATTCATGCTAGGTCGCAGCACAGTTGGAGCTTCGTTGCGCCTCGAGCAAAAAAATACATATATGTAATTATATATATATACATATATACATACATATATATATATACATACATATATATATATATACATACATACTGTATACATATATAGTACGTATACACATATGGGTTGTTAGCCACTTACCAACTGGTATGCACCGTCGCTAGGTCGCTCCGATGGCTGATGCTGGGTACGCCGACGATGACAGCTCTTGGCTCCTCACCCATGGGCGGAATTCCTCAGATACGTGCACCGTAAAGGGCACGTGAATCACAACCAAAATCAAAGAGGACATCAACTGTATGATATATGTGTATGTGTATACATAGAGCAGCATATGTATATATATATATATACACATAATCATATGCAATAATACATTATGTATTCAAGTTTAAAAGCCCCGAAGACTTGCGCAATCCAGCTCGCGATGAATGCAGTCTGTCTGATGGAAGTCAAGTCAGAGTCACTCGAAAATCATCTGAGCAAAAAAGAAAACTTTCACAAAACATCACCAAACTATAGAAAATGCTGGAAATGTCACGGATGTAGTCCAAGCCGGGACCCTCACACCACACAATATCGATCAAAATCGCCAAACTAGTCAAAATCATTAATAAAAAAAACGAATTCCTCTCACATCCTCTCACTCAATTTTTATCAAGTGACGCAAATTGGAGTTATGTGAACTGGCAATCCATGCTGTTGCCACCTGTCGAAACAGTATCCACCAGAGGCGCATGGGAAGCTCATGGAAATGGGGGGATCGGCGGGGGGATCGTTGTGGGTCCCTGGAAATTCCAATCATTTCGACCCAAAAACCTTGTACCCCTGTAGTTCACATCAAAATAGCTGGGATTTATGGATGTTCATCCCATTAAAAATTGTATTTTCATAGGTATTGATCCATAGCCATGTATATATGTGAACTTTCTGCCATGAACTCCAGGTGATCTGCATTGATCTACTGTTTCCGCAAGCAGTTGTTAGGTATGTCTGCAACATCTCATACACTGGCAGGAAAGTCAACCACGGCAACTGTCGCCTTGAGATATACATCTATGACATGATGGGATTTGCTGAAGGAACCCAAAAAAGAAAACACCTTTTTTTAGATTCCCAAATAGTGATTTTTTCATGGGAAAACCTTGAAAATTGTTTTCAGCCAATCTGTTTTGCAGGGTCGACTGTGTGGATCTGCCACATCACGGGAGATGTTACGCAGCGAATCGATGATATTCTAGAGTATAAATTCATGTTAACAGTAGAGTCTATATTTATATGGGCCATATTTTTTTAATATATTTAGCCCATATCTACTAAGAACATGATCAATCAATCGTAGATATCATATATCTACTATAATTAGTTCAACACATGAGGTGTCCATAAGGAAAATCTAAGATAAGGTTTGCAGTTCACCATCCAATCCTGAAGTGCCTAGTGGTGATTCACCCAATCCAAAATGTATCCTCCCAGTCTTAAGCATCAAAAAACATATATACAGAAAATATAATTTCCCTCCAGTGCGCTAGCATCGATGTGAAAAAAAACGGTTTTGCAAGGAAACCTGATCCTCAAATAGTGGGAATTGCACTCAATTTTGGTCATTCTCTGGAGGCTTCAATATATTCAAAGCCACAGGCCAGTGTGAACTTGTGGCCGAGCAACATGCAAGGCACTGGCTCCGTCGTGATGTTTCCATTGGACCTCGCAAGGCCAGTGAAAATGAGTAAGGACCTAAGGATCAACCAGTATGTGTATCAAAATACTGCTAACACACCGGAAATCCAGAAACCATTTCAAATGCCAAATGAGCTAACAAAACAAAACCTTGTTTTTTTCATCCATCCATCTTTTCTATTTCTCAACATGGACAAAAATCAACCAACCAACATCGCGGCTTCACAATGCACCAATTTAGTGTCCTTGTGGCTATCATTTACCTCTCATGGACTGGAGCAACCCAGTCACATGTGTTGACCTTCTTGCACTAATTTGTGATTCCAAGGTATTTGAGGAGAACACATCATACCAATCATACCAATATAAAACATGTATAAACACTGTTTCACTGACAACACAGAGCCAAGACGCGTCCGCATTGCGGTTCAAAAGTTCCAAGCACACGGGTGCGTTACCTGCCTCAGGGCAGCAGTGGCTTTGACAATAGATCTGTCTGAAAGTGACCATGTTCCTAGCCATCAAAGCTTGGGGGGTGCGGTGCCATGGTCCCAAGACTTGGAAGCTAGATGACAGCGCGGCTGTTGTCCTAGTTTGTATAACATTGTATAGCCATAATATATATATATAGCTATGTATATATATATACACACAACTTAGATAACTCCCAAAAAAAGCTTGCCCAAACGCGTTTCCAGGCTTTTCCATCTTGTTTTCCAGGCTTTTAAAAATGTTGTTTTCATGGGCATAATGGCATAATTTCCAGGTGTCGATGCCAAGATGCTGCCAAGGCAGTGTTCAGTGGTGGCGTTTCCATCTTGGGCTCTTTGGCCTGGCAGCCGATGCCGCTGATTTTTGGGGATGGTAACCGCCTGGTAACCCAAAAAGAAATTGCTGATTTCAAAGACATGACCCATTGGACCCATGAATTGGAGGGATTTTTTGGGGGGATTTGATGCCATCACAAATAACAGCCATGAAATTTATTGAAATTTATTGAAATTTGGGGAGGCAATTTTTCAGACCAGGCCACATGGATATTTATATGGGACATGAATTCGGATTTGAGAAACAAAACATGGGGATATATCACGTTGAAATATGTTGGAATACTAGATGGGATCGGATATGTAACCAGCAATATGGGCATGGCTTGAGACCTATGGTTGCCATATTTTGGGGAACAACCATCCATTACCAGGCTTTTGACCCAAAAGACGATCTCACCACCAAACATGTGAAGTTTCATGGAGAAGACTTGGCGTATCTAGTGATCAAATATAAGTTGATGAAAAAAAGAAACAATGACAAGAAACCTATAAGATTGTATCACCCAAACAATTGCCTGCAAATTGTCCCTTGAAGGAAAAACAACCCACAGTTTGACCAATCAGCAGGCACCTCCAAATTCGCTTTGAAGTCCAAAAGCAGCTTGACCACTTCCACAGTTCCGTGCCAACATGCGCTGTGAATGCCAGGTCCTGACATGGAATGGAGTTTTTCACCGCAGGATTCTTGGGAAGTGGGGCTGCAGATGCTGCAGCTTAAATATCTTAAATGACCTTTGCGAAATGAACATCAATCCGCAAAAAATATATATAGCAAGACAAATTCGGATGTGCTCTTTGATGGAGGCACATGTTGAACCATGCACATGCTGATAGCAGCCTTTGGTAGGTGAAAAAAATCCTGCAGCTGATCCGATATTCCCATCTGTAATATATAGAACATGAGATAATACCCTGAGAATTCTTAGTAGAGGTATTGTAAAGGTTGTATTTTTTCGGTACGTTGAGGGTGTCATCTTTCTACAATCATCGCCAAGGTGAAACATCGAGGAAAAGTGAATTTTAGCTACATGGCTCAAGAAGGTCTGATTTAGATACAAGTACTGTGAATGGACAAAATCCTGCTTCAGTTGGTAACTATTGGTAACTATTGGTAACGCTGTACACCCTATGTATTGTATGGGTTAAACATGCTTAAACTATCTACCAACTAATGCAGGATTTCGCAACCATCCACAGTATGTCATCATAAGATTTGTAGATTTCACCATCCAATTCCTGGCGAAGCGCCATCTCCCACTGCTTTGCCCTGCCTTGCGTCAAGGGGTCTTCCTGAGGGGCAGAGAGCAGCAGTCATCACTGGCTTGGTATCGGTATAAGGACAATGTCAACTCAAATGCTCAAGTTCTTCAACACTTTTCAGAACACCCCAAACAAAAATCAGGGTTCAATAATCCTTGGTTAATATCAACATACCAATCTTCGTATCCCCGCCAAAACTGGAGTGAAAGTTTACAGAAATTGATACCTTCTGGAAATCTAATTCGTAACCTTATGGAGGCGTCCAAAATGTTGATTTCGTGGCGGAGATTCTTCAGAAGGGGAGTATGAAGCACGACTGATGGGCGTTTTCTCCAGAAACAATCCGAGCATTGCGCCATTTCCCATACATCGATTCCCCCTAAAAAAATCAGTCATTTACATGGATAGGATCGCAAAGGGATGGAATATCATAAACACTAAGAAAGATTCAAATGGCTTTGTCTAAAAATAGAGTACCCAAAGGTGAATTCCCCAAAAGTTGATGCTCATCATTTTCTTTGGGCATATTCCGCTCGTGGACAAACCCAAATGGCCCAAATGTTTGAAGTACCCCTGAACCGAAGACGTATTGAATCCGAGTTGCAGCATTGGGATTTGCCTTGTTCTCCAGCAAAAATCGCAGGACTTTTGGGCTCGGAGAGATCTGTCTTGCCCTGCGGATGCAGCTTGGCCCGGGTTATGCATCCAGACAGTTTGACCTGCAGCCACCTGGCCTCTGACCAAATGAAGCGATGACCAAGCCTGAGGTGACAGGGATTTGAACAGGATCAAGTTCACAAACAGTGATCCTGATAGAGTAGTCACTACTGAATAGTCCATCCTCAGCAACTATTTTGAGGACGGAACTTCACTCTGAAGAAGCTAAATATGAATTCAATGAATTCCGAAGCAGTCGGGCCCAAATAAGGCTATAGCATCACCTGTTGCAGCCAGGCTTAGATCCTTGAAACATTCTGAAAATCAACCTGCGTAAAATTTAATTACATCACAAATAATGACTCAACTCTAGTGGAGACTCCATATTTTCCCATCATTCATGGCCAATTCAAATCCGGCTTCCTTTTCCGCCCACCTAATGCTACCCGTGCGATGCTCAAGGCTTCGAGGGACCGTCAGGGATTGGAAAGCCGTACTTTACAAAGCTCTTGGCACCTTCAATGTCATCCTGCAAAAGACCGTGGGACCTTTCAGTGTGCGCTGCTGGGAATGATAGAAAATCTGGCCAATCAAGAACAGAGAGAACTGTGCAGTAAAGATCTGAAGGATAATTTCAAAGAGACTCTATATATAATATATCTTTGTGTATCTAGAGTTATCTGGGGACGGAAGAAACCTCCATCATGACATATCTGCAATATCTCCGGATCAAGGCTGGGGTACCAATGGACCCTCGAACGGCTGGTCAAGTGTTCTTTTAGCATGTTTGAAACACCCATTTTGGGGAAACATGTTTTTCCCATTCTTGCATTATCAAGTCATGTCTGTATGATGAATCTACAACCTCACTGAGTATGAAATTCTAGGGGTGCATATTTTTGGGGGGATTTCTTTTTGTTTTTTTGGGGGGGATTGTTTGTTGTTTTTCAGTCTGGGGCACTTTTCCTTGCTATTTGCTACATTTTGGAGCAAAAACCGCAAAAACCTGTACTTTGTTGAATTTTGGAGCTAAAATGTGCCATTTGCACTGTTCATCGATTTTTCCATAGTTTTAGCCGGTTTTTCCATGGTGTTCATTGATTTACCCAAAGGTTTCATCGATTTTTCCACAATGTTCATTGAGTTTTCCATGGTTTCAATTTATTTTTCCATGGCTTCGATCGATTTTTCCATGCATAACATACACCTGGTGAACATGTAGAATATAGGTTGAAGCACAACCGTGTTGGGTCTAAATAGTGGCATTGGATGCTATCAAAGTGTTGGTTGGTTTAGGGTTTATTTAGATTTGGTTTAGGGTTTATTTAGGGTTGGTTTAGGGTTTATTTAGGGTTATTTTAGGGTTTGTTTAGGGTTTATTTACGGTTGGTTTAGGGTTTATTTAGGGTTGACTTTAATTTATTTAGGGTTGGTTTAGGTTTATTTAGGCTTGGTTTATGGTTGGTTTAGGGTCATTTAGGTTATGTTTAGGTTTGGTTTAGGGTTTATTTGCTGTTTGTTTAGGGTTTATTTAGGGTTGGTTTAGTGTTTATTTAGGCTTGGTT